ATATATCAAACCATGCACATCTCGCCAACAATAACGCGTAAGGCCGTGCTCTCCATTGGACGTATTTTCAGCCAACGAGCCTGCTTGTCGTGTTTACGCGTTACTTTTCCGTCAAGGGCTATGACCCGTTTAACAGACACGCCCCACACTTTCTGAAGCCGTGGATACCGTAACGCGAAACGCGACCGTGCCAGTGCACGGCCATCGTAAATACAGTGTTCCACGTTTCAGCGTCGAACGTGTATAACGTAACGTTTCGAACAGTTCGATGGGGCGTACGGCGCGACGAGGGCTGTGTATATCTCGGGAAGCGAGGCTAAAAATAAAACTGCGAAATTTTCTACGATGATCTTTTGCACGACAACGAATCTACAATGATGTATCACGTTCGTGGATGGGATACTTGTAATTCTATCGAAGAGTTGGCCGAAGGTCAAATGGAGGAAAAGACTACGTGCAAGGTTGTCAACGAGCGACAGAAATTAAAAAGACAAGGACAGTTGTAGGAAAAGACTGATGTTATTGCTATTACAAGAGAACAATCGAACGTAAAAACATAGGTGTTAATTCAAATCATGCTGTCGGGGATTTATGTATATTTTCCTTATAGTGGGCAAACTAATACCTTTCCACGATCTGTTGCTCGTTGAATAATTTAGTATACGGTACTGCTACAACAAAAACGCCGATGACGTAGCCGGGGCCCCTGAATGAAGTCAATCGACGGATGCACGTGTCCGCGGCCGAGCCTTCGTATTGACGCAAAAACACGATAAGAAGAGTCTTGCCTCTGTATTTCTCAAACAAAGGTTCCCCGCAGGAACATTCACTATTGCTCGATAAGCCGTAAAGATAAACATCAAAATATCGGAAGGTGTTTTGTCGTTTCGGCAGATTTCCCATTGCTACGCGCGTCCCCACGAAGTAGCGAAACGAGAAGGCCTCTCCGGCCAACTTTATCGCCTCGATACTTGGAAAATATACAGCTCGAATATGGCGTAATTGTACATTTGGTCAAAATATAAATAAAAACGCTCGAGTATAATTAGAAGATGAACAAAGTGTCCAGTACACTGAACGCCTTGGCATAATCATTCGTCAGGCGAACTGTAGCGATTGGAACATGTAAATTTAATTATGAACTTCTGAATGTTTGAATCTGACCTTTCGAATTTTTCGAACTTTTCGATTTGTAAAATTAAACCTCTGAATCTTCGAATTTGAACTTTCCAACTTTTCAAACTGAACTCCTCAATTTCTCCACTTTCGAACTTTATCAGATTTTTCAATTTTTAAACTAACGTACCGTAATTAAACATTTCGTTATTCCTGTTCGCGCGATCGCCTACACGAATACGCACCGAGCACTTTCCGGCTATTTCTACGCGCGTATTTCCTCCTTTGTTCGCGGTGCACGCTTAAAATGCGCGTAACGTTCAGCCACCTCGATCATGTTATTAATTAGGATTGCAAAACAGCACGGTACGGTATAATGCGAAGATGGGGGAAGGTCGAATGACCGGCCTTGAGGCCCTCCACGGAGAAAGTAAGATAGAAGAGAGATACGTGTCGGACGTTTTCAACGAATTTCGTCCGACGTTATACATACATATATATATACGTACTCTCCTTCGTTTGGACGATCGATTTTTACATAAAACGGTTTCGATTAATCGTGAGACGGATGCGTTCTCTCGCGCCTCTCCTCCGTCCACTCTCAAGCTAAATAGATACACAATTTTTAAAAACAATGTCAGCGACACTTTCGCGGAGTTAACGCGAAGCTACGCGATAAAGATGTGAACAGAGGATGTGTACACACGATCGTCGATCACGAGTCCGTCGAATGATCCCGTTGTTGTCTATCGTGAACATTGGCAGCCTTTGAATTCGTGAAATCGACGGGACGCGTGCTGCTTCACGAGAATCGATATAAAGTTTAATGAAAGACCGTAGGAAATTATTAAAAGCAGCAACGAGGTTCCGATGCATCGTACATGCCCCCCCCCTTCGATAATAGAATGATGAAACACCGTGTAAATTTCGTGATAACACGTACCCCGTTACGAAAGAAACAATTAAAGTGATTTACGCTCGTTATTCTTTTAATCTCGGCGCGCTCGTGCACGCCTTCCTCCGATTATCCATGGGAAACGGTGTTCGTCTGAGATATTCACATGAGAGAGAGAGAGAGAGAGGGAATGGGGGGAGGGGGGTAAATAAGCTCACGGAGCCGGATACTATCGAATTCTCTTAATCGTTTCCACCAATATAAATTGCAGCCACCGTACGATAGTGCGCATGTAAGGGAGTCGAACGGAAGATACCGAACGATAACATCGAAAATTTACTAGAGACACGAGAGAGAGAGAGAGAGAGAGAGAGAGAGAGAACAGTCGAGGAAAAAGAATTTACATAGTAATATTCCATGCGATTGCTCGACGTGTGATAAGCAGTAGGCTTGCTGCTCAAAAAATAGCGATAAGAAACCAATGGATATACGTAGAAAGTCACATAGAACGTGGAGAACCTCGACCCATTCTCAATTGCACGCGTTCACCTGTAAGATGACGCTGAAACACCTAACCTAACAATAGGCACGGGGACGAACGTTAAAAACTCTTCATCGAACGTTATTGTTTTCATTTTTATTTTCTATTCTCTGTGAACACTCTCACCAAGACGACGTAGTACCAAATGGTTCTTAATGAACCGCTATGAAAGTCAGTTGCATACGCGCAATTTGATAAGAATGCGCAATTACAAGTCGCCCTGTAACAACAATACGATTAGGTAACACAGGCGTTGCAACGGGATGCGCCATTTTTAAAGGCGATTATGACGTAGGAACGTTTTTTCCAATGGCTTCGAGACGAATAATTCGAGTCTCACGAGTTTTCATTAAGATGGAAAGCCTCTTAAGCCGTTGCATCGAACTATTCCGTAATCCAAAGCGTTTTCGTTGATTAAATAAGTAAGAAAACAGATTTACGTACACATTTTTTAATAAAAAAAGGGATTCATAGTTTTGGAAAGTCAAAAAATTCTTTCGTCCTTTGAAAGTTTGCTCGCGTGAACGTGAGAAAGTTCGTTATCGTGCCGTATGCGAAGCGAACAGGACAAATTAACAGTCGCAGGACAATTGAAGAAAATTGAAATTGAGTGAAGAAGACAATTGAAGATGTGGGTTATATGCTGAACGATGAATCATATTAACGGTGAAAATCAATGGATACTTTACACGTTCGTAATCTTATTATCGTATATTAAGATCGTTTATAGATTTCTCAGCTCGAAGGTCGTGAAAAATCTTGCAACCAAGAAATAGGCTATACAGAGGTAAAACATAATAGTTTCAAAGGTGGAAACGAAGCCAACGACAATGAAGTGTGCATCAACCGACGCGCAATAAACATCAGTTGTCAGGCTGTTGTTTATGAGTTAACTATTGGTTATCTCTACGCGGCTCCATTTTGTTTTTAACACACCATCACGATGTATACAGCGTTAATAACATTGTCCCGTTTCAACGAAATTTCCGCGCTTGCAAGTGGAAAATAACTAGACGATCGTAACGATGAATTTACTAAACAGTAAGAACCTTTTCAACTCGACAATCTATTTAAAGATTCGAAAAGGTGATTCCCTGTATACCACGTGGAATGGCATTGATTATGCAGCGCGCACGATGAGCGACCTTCGTGGAAATCGTACACATTTTCGAAATATGTTAAAAAATGATAATAGGAAGAATCAAAGCAGAAGTAATGTTTGCTAAATATAAAATGAAGCAAACGATTAAATTATTCCAATTTAATTGCTCCCCTCGAAAAATCGACGTCTGTTCTTACACGGGGATTCGCCTTTAAATAAATACGAGCGGTAGCGAGTTTCTCTCGATGCAGATATTTGATCAGCCGTCCAACGGACCAATTTGCTCCGCGAAGATGGCGCTGCGGAAAAATACAACGGGACAAGAGGGACAAATGGAAGAGAAGGAGACGAGGAAGAGTCAAAGACCACCACCGTCCGAGCTGGATTCGAATTAACCAGTCACAAAGTGGGCGGCCGATATATTTAACGGCAGACTGCACCAGAATGCTTCCTCGTTGAAATCCGACCTCCCGACGACCTCGCTTCCCCAGATTTTTCAGTTACACGCTCGACGCTCTCCATTACGCTACATTCACACGCGGGTACGCGTGTTCCTCCGCCACAGAAAGAGCCTCTGAAGAAGAAACGCGCGGTCCAGACGAAATCTAGATGTAATGAACCAATAAATGTCAGAGCGATTTAAAATGTATCGCTTCGAAAACGTTCGAGAAAGAGAAACGTAACACGATCATATACATATTTCTGGAAGTGTAATTTATTCTTCCTCGAAATCGTTCGTCTATCGGCGTCAAACATCTCGACAATGATAAAAATCGTAGCCAAGCACACGGAAAAGGGAATACAAGTGAAATCGTCGAATGATCGCGTACAGGTCGTTTATACGGATAAAATATTTCTGCTGGCGTGCTTACGAAATGCACGCGTTACAACAAAACAGGAACAGGGGGAAAGGTGAGTATGTCGAAACGGGGCAATTCGGGGGCTCGCCGTGTCTCGCGAGGCGTTGCATTCTGCTTTCTGTCGCAACTAAACTACGCCGGAAAAGACTCACAGGAAGAGAAAAGGCGAAGAGATAGAGAGAGAGGGAGTGAGGGAGAGAAAAGGAACGAGTCAGATAACTTTGAAAGAAGGTGTAGGAGGGTTGAAGCTGCATGACGCTTGGAGAGCGCAGCGATACCATGACGTATCGACCGAGCGCGCCACGCAGACTGACGTCATGATCACGGCCTCAGTCAGACCGCGAGCACGTGAACAGCACGCCGGTGATCACGCGGTCGTCGGCTGATAATGCTTTTTCACGGCGAGCCCCTCGACAGGATTGGTTGCGGCGAAGCGCGCCGCATGATCACGCACACAAGCAGCACGGCGTGTTGAGCCAACCGACCTGAGAAAGCTTCATTGCGTTACCAGACGTTCAACCGTTACGTTCTATACGGCTTTTTTCGCAAGAAACATCGTATACGCGAGATCGCGTTTTCTCGTCGTTAGACGAGCCTCTTTAACGTACCACGTACCCCGCGCTACGTTCTATCTGAATAAAATGGATACTAATCAAACGCCTCTTTCACCACCGGCCTCACCCCAATTCAAACACGTAAGTGCACGCTGAATTAAAAGTACCGCCACTGTGAACTGACTAACCGCCCGCGAAATATGAATGCAACTGGGAATCATCGACCCAGCCCTATTTCATTCAATCAATTTCTAATATTCTATATCATTTGATTTCATTTCTTTTATCGTTTTATTTTAGCAACTTTCAATTCATTTTTTCGTTTCTTTGACTCTAAAGATATTTCTCGAGAATATTTATAGTCATTTCAATTAATTGTAACTAAATTTATTCGCAATTACATAAAACTCGAAATGATCTATTAAAATAATTCTTCTTTTTACAGATTGAACCACTGCAGTCTTCATTCAGCGTTGCAGCACTTTTGGGGGATAAGCTTCTGCAGAAAACGAAGGCTGCTGACATAAACACGAAGAAAGATGACGACGGAAATGCACCAAGACCTGGTTTGCCTCCAACTCCTCAGCCTTCAGATTCGGAAGAGGATGAACCTCTTCGGAAAAGGCGATGCGTGGAACAATGCGAATTAGCGAAGGTAAATATTCTATATTTATCGACAAACTGCTTTCTGCGCATCTTAAACACAGAACTATCTCTTTTTGATTTTTTCTCCGCGCGATCGACTGGCCACTCCAATGTACATATACGCATGCGCGCATGCTTTATAGAGTTGTTTTGCAAGATGACCCCGTTTACAGCGTGCATTCACTCTTATACCATTTTTGTCGCTTATCCTTCGGGCAAATGGTGTATACCTTCTGACGGTACTCGCCGCAAAATGTCACATTATCCTAGGTAGATAGCTCTTAAATGAACGATAAGCAGCATCAATTTTCCATATTTTTACATTTTTTCAATAACTAAATGTATATCATTTATATAGCAACACTAAAAAAAATGTTTTTTTTTTTTTTCAAATATATGTAAGAAGATTGTATGGATCTATTTAAGATTTTTTCTAATTTACTACAAAAATTTCTTAATGGACGAAATTTAAAAAATTTTTATTTTCTTTCAAACAGTTACTCTTGGATGGTACACCACCTCCAAGTCCAGAACCAGCCCGTGTGTCGGTGATAATGCGTGCCAATCGAGATGGTACCTACAGTCCTGCCAACTTGATACCAAAGACTACCACGACGTGCTCACAATCGGTTCCACGTGATCTACAACAGATCACCAGTCTGCAGTCGGAGTCCACCACGCGACAAAGCATAGTGGAGCCGGAGAACATACTAAAGAGTCTCAAATTCAAAATGAGCCTCCGTAAGGAAGAGATTATTGTAAATAACAAAAATACAGATCGCGAGACACAGAATGTTCAAACTAAATTACATCCTTTGGCACCAAAACCTGCACCAATTATGGTAACCGGACTTCTAGGATCACCTTTGGTTCTTCCGCGAACACCTCTTTTATTGGTAACTGCGCCTACGTCTACCACAACGACAAGTATTGTGTCTGCCCCAGAATCAGCTGCACGACGTCGTGTTTACGAATGTGAGCATCCAGGTTGTGGCAAGAATTATTTTAAGTCATCCCATTTGAAAGCACACACGCGAACTCACACGGGAGAGCGGCCGTTCTCCTGTCCCTATGAAGACTGCAGTAGACGGTTTTCAAGGAGCGACGAACTTTCACGGCATAAGCGAACGCATACTGGCGAAAAGAAGTTTGCCTGTACAGTCTGTCAAAGAAGATTCATGAGAAGCGATCATTTGGCGAAACACGTGAAACGACATACCAGAGACAGATCGTCCATCACCGCGATCGGTGCTCAGGCATCCGTCACGCAAATGACACCCGCGCCTTTAAGAGTAAGCTTACTCCCTGTTATAGCGCCACGAATAACGCAACCTGCTCAACAAATAATTCCACCGCAATTAGCGGCTTAAAGAATATGAGAACAGTGACATAATAGTCACTTAATATGGTTTAAACTGTACCTAAAGCTGTGAATCAAGCTTTAACTACCGCAGGATTGAGAACCATTCCAGCATCGCGGGAATGTTCGAATTGATTGTCTTTTTATGGATATACAAGAGGAAAGTTTTCGATAGCGATAAATGTTCTCGCCGAAAAAACTTAAAAATATTACACGGAGGGTTTTCACGAGTTATCAATTAAAATAAAGTAAACATTAGTGGAGAACATGTCCATTTCTAAATGTTGAGGAGTTACAAGTAAAAGTATGCTCCCATTTGCCTTTTTGAATGTGTGTCGCGTTGTGATGGTGTAAAACGAGTTTAACGAAAGGCGTACTTAAGAGGGAAGGACCTAAACACGAGGAGCGGTTACAAGTCATGAAAACGAGGCTTTTTTGCCGTCCGTGAACCAAGTACCTAAGTGTGTCTGTGATCTGTGATGCATTAGCGCGTTGACCGAGAAAAGAGTATTTATTTAAAAATGCAAAGACAGTTTTTATCAATTATGTACATAACGGCTATGTAAAAATGCTAAAATTATGCTGTTTTCATTATCGTCAACTAGTTATACATGTTAATTATGAATATATGTATATATAACTATATATACACAATTTGTTCGGTTGAATGTTAAACCGGACAGCGTAAGACTTTAATATTGTATATAACGATAAGTTTTAAAGATTTTTCTACAAGATCAGAGATTAATTAAAACACTTATATACTTTCGTAAAATTATTGTAAGTACATATAATTCCTTGACAACCCTCACATTTTCCTTCTTATCTCTTTAGACATCTAATTTACCCGTTAACGAATTACAAACTAATCTGGCACGTTTTATAATCACAACGATTAATGTTTCGACAAAAATGTTTAGTTACAGCCTCTGTGCAATTTTGACAATTATAAATTCACAAATGACGAAATTTAGCGTATTTGATAAAAGTAACCCCTAAAGTTTCTTTTTTTTTATAAATTATCACAATAAGAATAGACAACACATTAATGGGCACAAACTTAATTATAAATCTTTAGTTGTTTTACTTTGCAAATAAGTAAAACCATGCAGAAGGTCATGAATCAAGATGATTGGTGAAAAGGAAAAAAGAATGACAGTGCACTAGCTATAAGTGACGTGCTGTTGGTTGCGATTTACCAAAGCAAAATAACGGAACGTGATTAACAATTATGATACAATACTTGAGCATTAATTATCCTTGATTATTTCGACGTATTGAAAAGACACATTTCATTAAAAAAAAATTTTTTTGTATAATATTAAAACATTAGTAATTGTCAAAAAAATGTTAATGTAATCAAGTTTGAAGTATAATAGAATTGTGAAAACTAAAACGTATTTAGTAACTGCTATATCAAAGCGAAAAGTTTCCATCACGCATCACCCAAAGAATACGATTGCGTTCGAGTGCGTGGATACGATCTCATCCTCTTTGATTAAGATCCGTGGTGGTTGCGTTCAAATTTAAACTCACCGAGAGTTTCGGAAACACTTGTTTCCTATCTTCTAGAAATCTTTAATAGAGATCTTCGAAAAAGATATATAAATTTACATTAAAAAACAGGTTCTCTAATGATATCTAATATATTTCACCAATTTTTATTAAAATTTTTAATAAACAGAAGTCTTGTACATATTTTTGATCTTTAATATTTCGATAACTCTTACAGTCTTGCTTCCTTAACCTATGAACATTCGGTTATTTCGAAAACATGCGTATACAGATATACGTTCACTGCATAAGCATATTACTTTCTTCGTAAATTTGTTATTTTTCGTAATTAGTGAAACATACGATTAACGTGGAGAAAGTAAAAAATTCCATTGCAAGTATTATCGCGTTCTTCACACTTGTAAAAAAAGAACCGTGTTAACGTCAAACATAATTCGCAAGGCCATCGATTAAGATAAGATTTTTTATCAATCGTTTGCATTCGTTAAGGAACCAAATTTCTAAAAATACGAGTTTCCGAAACAGTATTAATGTTTTCATGGATATTTCTATGTTTAATAATCTTATAAAAAAAATACGTTATAATTATAATACTCGAGTTTCCCAATATTGTTGAATAAATTTTAAATTAAATCTAGTGGTGATACCGCTTGCTCGTTGATCGTTATTTAACCAAAGAAAAACAAGGGTTAGGTGTTTCTTTATTGCATACTATTACTTATTGTGTAAAGACATTCACATTTTGCCAATGTTTTCACTTGAAAAACGATTCTTGATGATTTAAGAATTTACAAAATTAAAAAATAGTATCATAATACATTTAAGGTTAAACTAAAAAAGAGGCGATCGAGTTTACTTTTGCCGTATTAAAACATGACATAAGTTTTTTTCCATATTTTTAGTAAACTAGTATAGAACAAAATTGTACAGGTCAACTTAAAGGCATGATCCTCGTTAATGGCTTCTCACGAAACATCGTGATTTCTTGCATCAGCCAAGGACTCGAGTTCTTATAATGTTGTAAATGTCACAAACAGGTGTGGGACCGGTAGATGATGTAAAATGTGCTCTTGATTACCCTTGTTTTCTTTTACTAAAATTTGTATTTGCTATTAAAAGGATAGCCTTAAAATCTTCTCTTTTGTTAAATCTATTGAAAAACTAATTCAATAGTTATAAGGTATCATTAAATATTTAAACCTATAGGCTTTAGAGCAACTATTTTAATATCCTTGAAAATAAAATAATAATAAACGCGATCTTAAATCTAAAAATTAATCTTTGCAGATAAGGTGATATAACTAGCTAATACATTTTGTCCTATTTCTAAAGTTCTTCTTAAAACATAAATGTATGATGCATTTTGAACCCAAATACATTATCATATTTCATCTTACTTTTATAAAATGTTAATAAAAACTTTGTTTTTTAGTTCTTATTAGAAATTTGCTTCTTTAATTGAAGATAAATTTGTCATAAACGTTTATGTTGTTGAATAGAGATTACTTCAATTTTTTTGCTCATAAATAAGCATGTACCTGAAAGTGCAATATCTTCTAAACATTGCATCAAGAACAAGAATTCCACTCCTACGTCTTTCATAATTCAAAGGACATAAAAAATGTTTATTAGGCAATAAATTTATTCGTATACATTTATCAGTCATTCATTATTGAACAGTTTAATACAGCATAATATACGCTCACGCATCTTTACTAGTACACCTTAGTGAAGAAAAGTCATTACAAAATTTGTTCATTTTTATATGAAAACTTATTATTAAAATCTGTTTAATAAACTGTATTTTATAATTGTGTAAGTAGTAAAAAGTATATATTTTGTGTTTCAAAATAGAGTTTGTATGTACATCTAGGTTATATTTTAACATTATATTGCAAAGATAAAGTTTCGTATTACATGACATCAAAATGTTACTTATTTGTTTTCAAGTATTGCAATCACATTCGAGTAAATATTATAAAGTCTATCAAAATTTCAATTACTTCAAATGTTTTGCAGTTATGCAAACACACCTATTATTGTTTATGGAATTTCTTGCTTGGATCAGATGCCATATCATATAACATTTGGCATGGTTTAAATGCATCGCCATAATGACTTTGGAATTCTTCCATTTTTTTCACTAACTGATTAGCTCCATAAGAATCTATCCAACGGAAAGGACCACCGGTAAATGGAGGAAACCCTAATCCAAAAACAGCTCCTACATCGCCTTCCAACTGGAACATATTTATTCATGTGTAGCAAAACACAACTTATGTGATTGAATGTGTCTATAATGTATTGAATATTATGTTTACCGGATTAGCCAAAATACTTTCTTCTAAACAAAACACCGCTTCATTAACAAATCGAGAAACCATTCTTAATTGACGATCTTCAATGGACGTACTTCCTTTTGGCTCGAGTTTATATTTCTTCAAAATATCTAATGCTGCAAGGTTAACATTTCTGTTCTTTGTATTAGTTTCATAAATAAATATTCCTTTGCCAGATTTTCGACCTGAAAGTTAAATATCTTTCGTTAAATATATTCATATGCAAAAAGTATTGTGCATAGAATAAATAAAAAAAAGAATACCTAAAAAGCCAGCTTTGACGATGTCACCAAGTATATTTACATCTCCACCCCTAAAACGTTCACCCAAAGCTTTTACAAGATGCGCGCTTATGTGAGCACCAACATCAATACCAACTTCATCTGATAAAGTTGCTGCTCCGACAGGAAATCCAAACTTTTTAGTCATGTCGTCCAAATCCATGGGGTCCACACCTTCCTGTTTTCAAGTTTAAACTTATATTTCTTTATTTTATATAATAACAAAATATTGGAAAACGTAAAAGTAATACCTGCATTAATCTAATAGCTTCAGATAACATAGCAGACAGAATTCTTGTTGTATAAAATCCAGGACCATCACCAACAGTAATAACCGTTTTTCCTTGTTTTAAACCTACATCAACTGCAGCTTTAATAGTTTCAGTTGATGTACCTTTATGTGTTATTATTTCTAACAGTTGCATTTTATCTACTGGTGAGAAGTAGTGCATTCCAATCACCTAATAAATACATAATTTTGTTAAATTATATTGTTTATAAGGACAGCATATATAACTCACTTTATCTGGGCGACTACTACCAGCAGCTATTTCAGTAATAGGAATTGCTGATGTATTAGTTGCCAATATACAGTGTTGTGGTGCATTTGCTTCAATTTCCTTTATAACCTTATGTTTAATTGCAATGTCTTCGAATACAGCTTCAATTACGATATCTGCATTTTTAAATGAACCATAATCTAAAGTAGCATCAAGCTGAGAAAGATATTTATCTTTTTGAACACTAGAAGTAAATAAAACGAGTTATAACAGAATTATCATTAAATTCTCTGTTGTTGTGCGTGATTACTATTTTTTCACAACTCCAAAAGAAATATATAAAATTGAACCAAATACGAAAAACGCTATCATTCAGAAACTTTTGTCCGCAGCTGTACATGCAACTACACATTTCTTAGTGAAGAAATTACAAATGTTTAAAACTAACCTGGAATATTTCTTCTTTTTAACAGCAATGTCCATTCCCTTTTGTATTTGATTTAAACCACGGTATAAACCCTTTTCATTTGTGTCTTTCATGACCACAGAAAAACCTTTATCTATACTTACTTGAACAATACCTGCTCCCATAAGACCAGCACCAACAATAGCAATTTTTCTAAAATATAGAAATAAAATCAA